CTCGCTTATATAGCTCAATCACGTACTGGACTATCGTCTTCTCTTCTAGATCAGTAAGCTTCCGCGAGTTGGCTAGAAGATCGCGTCGTACAGCTCGGCCAGTACGTCGATGGCCGAGGGTCGAAACTGGTACGTTATAGAGCTTGGCCGCGGCTCGTAGGCTTAGTTTCGTGTCATTCTGAAGAGCTTGAAGGGCCAAGATTACCCTAGCTTCCTTTGAAGCCGAAGACATACTTAGTTATAGGAAAAACGCGCTGTTGAGGGTGGATGAAGAGGGACGCGTCGTGCCAAGAACGTGGTGTCTCGCTCGCTTATATGTCTCGCTCGCTTATCAAGTACGTTACTTATGTTTGTTCTAGACCTCAAAAGGCTTTTCTCCAGTGGCGGCGTTCACGATATTGTCGCGAATGTAGTCATGGCAGTTCTTGAGGCCCTGTGACTCGGTTACCAAATTGAATATGAATGCTCTCAGAGCTACAGGCTGGAGGGGATGGGTTCTTGCTTACCTGCAAAGCTTTCTTGCTCACAGACTTAATGGCATGACAGAGTGCATCAATGTCTGTAGCCGTGTCTTCGACTTTAGCATCCAACTTCTCATGTTTGTCTTCGAGCCTTTCGACGATATTCTCGATTTCAGACAACTTCAACGCTAGGTTGTCTACCCGTTCCATTAACGCTTTCAAGTTACCGTCCTTTATGGCTTCGGCGGTGAGCTGATGGCGGCCAAGGGTAGGCAGTCTGGCCTCGCGTTTGGCAATCCGTCTCTCGTAAGGAAGAGGTTCGACGCCTGACAGGTCTTCAAGACTTCGACGCTAGATTTCCATGTCAGTAACTTGTCTGGAATGTGCCACAATCTGTGCAAGAGAATTGAATGCATGCTGGAACAGCAGAGCCGTACTAAAAGGAGCCACGGCAACGGGTATGTAGACTCACCGGTGATTCATTTTCGAAAACAGGGCCCGGATACTGGGGATACCGGCAGTGATTAGAGAACGAAGCTGGCATGTCATCTCCTACTGCTAAGGTGGTCATACCTCTATCAAAAGTGTATCTCCTTCCTCCAGATCGGGGTCTGAAAAGGGCGTAGCATCAAGTTTCGCGAGACGTTTGGCTCTCTTAAACGGGTGTTCCTTCCGCCGAGGTTCTGGACGTTGTCCTATAGCAGGCGACAAAACAGCCCCGGGTATGGCTAGGGGGAGTCTGTCGGGGTAGACGCTGGATCAGGTCCGTCGGCATCAAGGCTGCGCTTGACGCCCTTGAGCGGGTCGACAGAACTCTTCGACGACAGAACTTCAACTGCTGCATCAATGTGGTCCTTCATTCTGAGATCAGATATGCAAGCCATGTTACCTGCGGGGTCGAGCTACTGGTCGAGTAGAATTGAGATTCACCGATCAAAACAGTCCAGCGCAAATCTTTGCAAATGAATATATACGATATCTGGTATCTCGGAGCGATTGTTGCAGGAGGCGATGGGACTATCCTAGTATGCGTACGTCTGGCTGTTTCCTTCCTCTACAGGCGCCTTATCCTTACCACTGAGCCACTTGTGACAGAACCACGCTTCGAGATGAGAAAGGAGAATATGAGGACCTGTAATTGGGCCTTTGTGTTGACTAGAAGAGTTTGTCAAGACTGAACGACGTTAAGGCACGTGGGAAGTGCATGAAGACCGGAATACCTGACAATTGAACTACGTAGAACACAGATGATGTTGTGGTGTGACTTGGGGTAGAGGTGGTCGGCTGTCTATGAGGTCCGGTGATTCGAATGAAAAGAGGTAAAGAAGTGAGCGGGGAACGAGCAGGGCACTAGGGGAATTTAT